CTTCCAGAGGACCTGGGTTCAAATCCCAGACCCCACATGGCAGCTTACAATTTCCAATAACTCCACCTCCAGGATATCTGACACTCTCACACAAACATAAATGCCAACAAAATACCAATGTACACAAAGGAAAAATAAATAAATCATTTAAAAATATTCTAGTAAGTATTCTAATAGATTTTGTTGTTGTCGTTGTTGTGTTAGGCCCTAAGGAGTAATGGCCTAGTATATTTTAAAATTGTTCTACTCAGAGCTACCATGATAAGAAAGTAATGATTCATAATGCCAAATATCATGGAAAAGAGGCATGTCCTCTCTGTTAAAGGAAGACACAATTTTCAAAATTTAAAACTAAAAGGATCCATTCCCTAAAACCCTTAAATGTATACCTAGGAAAAAGAGACCTAGATTCATTCTAAATATGTGTCTATTAATTGTTCTACTCACAATGCTAACATTGATAGCTAGAAAAATAGTAGTCATTCCAATTCAAATACCATGATTATACTAAGAAAAAAATTAACCTTGAATATCTTCCCACTCACTGTATTCTTTAAGTTCCTCACAGAAGTTACATTAATGGAGGAAAAAAAGTAACAAAATTATCTTTTTTGAAATAAAAACTGTACATATGAACATTTAAGAATTAAGGAACTCTTGTTTTATAATATATAAACCAGGCTCAATATTGGTAAAAAAGGATAGTGTGGTTTGTTTATTTTTGAAATATTGTCATGGAATCTGTATTTATTGAGAAATAGAATGATAAATTCAAGTTAGAAAAAAATTGTGACATCAATAAATGTATTCTGTTGTATTCATCATTGTGAAGCATATCACTTTTCTTTCATCAGTTTTTTATTTCTAAACAACTACTTTCTTTTGTGTGTCATTTTGATGTGAAGGATCATCTTTCATCCTTGAAATGAGGTTCACAATTTAGAATGCATGTTAAATGCCCTAGGCACTGGCGCTTACTGAGCCTTCTCATTTAAGAAATGAGTTGGCCAGTTGCAAGCGTAATGACAACTAAAATAAATAAGTGCTTAGAGCCTGTAAGCCCATACCAGACTATCATATGAGAGTTGCTTTCTTTTGTGTGGAAATATCATTCTTATCATTAAGTATAAATAAATATTTTTAAAGCACGTATTCCCCATTGAGAGATCTAAAATTTTTATTATTTGGAAATGTGACATGTTACTGACTTCAGGTTTTTTTGTTTCTTATATTACAGTTTGACCATGTGAATTTTAAATTTTTATTTCATTGGAGAAAAAAAGGACTGAGAAAATTATCTGTACACATAAAAAGGAATTGGAGTTATATGAGCACTCATTCAATCATGTACTACTTTTTATTTGATGTGTGAAATCATGGAGTTGGCCTGGTCTAGTGGCCTTGAGAAGCAAGCATCATAGGTTCTTCAAGTTAGAGCCCATGGCATCTGGGACACCATGTGCCTTTCTGTTCCTGAGAAGCAGAGGCACTCCCTTAGGCAGTGAAGCATTCAGAGCACTTGTGTATCACTGTGTTCCCTAGAAGTCAATGAACCATAGAGAAGTTTGACAGAACAATTAGTCTTAGACATTAATCTTATGTACCCTGTACAGCTTGCAAATATCATTATATTCTGGCAACTATCATAGTATTGATTCAGACAACTGCCATTGTATTCTGTTTATGATAAGGGTATAAGAAGTCTGATTGCTTGCAATAAACTTGTCACAGTCACAGTTGTGCTGTGGTCCCATTATCCCATCCTGTGTTCATTCCCACTGGCCATAATCAGGTTACTCCGGCTTGGTAAGTAAGGGTTGGTGCTTACAAGTTACCTTCTTCTACTTTATGTTTAATGGTACATGTGTTCTTGAAAATATATTATCTTTAGATATCACCACACTGGGAAGTGATAGACAGAAAAATATCAAATGTTTCCCATGACAATGGACTTTATGTTAAAGACTGCTGTTTGAAACAGTTTGAGTCCAAAGATATAGAATTACATTTAGAGTATCTGGTTTGTGGAGGACAGATCTGTGCTGAGGCTTTGTTTCTTTCTGCTTAGTGGTCTTCTGTAGTGCATTGCACCACTTCTCTATAAATATATAAGAAATCTCTCTCTCTCTCTCTCTCTCTATATATATATATATATATATATATATAGTTCCTTAGCCTTGTGTAGCATAAGAGCCCTCTCTCTTCTCTGCCACACACACATTTGTTTATTTGCATGTAGTCATCTTATATCTAGTCCACATAGTCAGCAATGTGGTACTTCTGCATATTTATCTTTGTATACACGAAGCTTACTGCCTATAAGTATTCCAGAGACAAAATACTTACTTTAGAATAAGCCTTTTTAAATGTTTGTTTATTTGCTTCTTTGTTTAATACAAGTCTCTTGGAACATAGCCTAGAATGATCATGAAATTGTGATACTCGTGCCTCTGCTCCCTAAATGTTGGCAGGTTAGTCATGTGTGACCATGTCAGGCAAGAATAAACCATTCTTATGGAAACATTCCTTCAGCAGAGGACCATCACATAATACCACAATATATAGTCAACCACAGAAAGTCTTGCTAACATTTCCTCATCTCCATTTCCCAAAATAAAGAAATGAACTGAAGCCAGCACCCTCAGAAATTTAGAACTCAAAGTATAGTTCCCATTACAAAGTTATCTTGACTTCTCTGTATATACTTTCAATTGTTTATACAATTATATGTTCCTTGGATTGAAACTACTCAGAATTATATTTTAGGATAATCTTTTCTATGTAGAGACATTAACATAATCTCATGCTTGAAGTGTAAAATTACCAATGGAGAATATAGAGATTTTTTTTAAGAGATTTTTTTCTGTTGTAAAATAGCATATACCCAAAGCTTTGTATTCAAAACTAAAGTTGCTTTGGTGTGGTTCTGTTGTCAGCTTGATAACATTGATTCTGTTTATGTTATATTACATTTTGTTTTCTCCATCTTTCATAGGTTATACTTCTAAATAGAATTTTATAGTTTGAAAGATAAAATTATGTAAATCATGTACCTCAAATCATTTTATTCTCATGTCTAGGCTCCACATTAGCCTCAATCGTAATTACATTTTTTTTGGTGAAATTTGATTCACTATACATTTATTTTTTCAGTTATTTACTCTAGTCACAGGAGCTTCTTAAGCATCCTATGATGTTTGGGAACTCACTATGTAGCCAAGTCAGGCACCAAAAAGACAATTCTCTATCAGCCTCCTGAATGCTGTCAATTCAATAGTTTGTCTTCATTATGGATTAGGTACACTCATTTGAATTTTTCTTACAAAATATTGAATACAACTAATTTGAGATTTCATCTTACACCTGTCAGAATTACTAAGATTTAAAAATAAAATGACAGCAGATTCTAATGAGGATTAGAAAAAATAGACCCTTAGCCACTACTAGTGGGAGTCCAAACTGACACAGTCACAAATCAGTGTGGATGTTCCTCAAAAATCTGAAAATAGATTCACCGGAAGACACAGCTATACCACTGGTGGACACATATCCAAAGGACTCCACAATCTGCTGTGGGATGTTTTTATTTATTTATTTATTTATTTATTTATTTATTTATTTATTTATTTATTTATTTATTTATGTACTTATTTATCTGTCACCGATTCTTTATGTAGCCTTGACTCTCCAAGAATGAGCTCTGTAGATCGGGGTAGGCTTGAACTCAGAGATATGCCTGCTTCTGCCTCCTGAGTGCTGGAATTAAAGGTGTGTACCACCACTGCCAAATCTAAATATATCTTATAACTTCATGATTCATCAATTTTTTGGGGTAGATAATTGTGTTTGAAAAACATCAAAATATCAGTCTACTCAGTATTATGTTCAAATGTTTCCCAGCTTCTCTTTGGAGCTGCAGAACTATTTTGTTTACATTAAGCTTGTACTCATAAATAATTAACTATGAAGAGAACAACATAGGTTGATGATGGATGAGTATAGTTATAAATGGTTTTGATTTTCTTGTTATTTTACACATAAAATTTCCATTATATACTCAAATTTCTGATTATTTCAAAAGATTTTTTATATAATCTTTCTCAGCTTGCTTCAGTTCTAGTGGATACATTATTTTGACCAACTTATGCTGTGGGATATTTTTTCTGTATGCTATGAATATGTGTTGCTATAATTGGTTAATAAAGGAGCTGCTCTGGCCTATGGTGAGTCAGGTTATAGCCAGGCAGGAAATCCAAGAAACAGACAGGAAGAAAAAAGCAGAGGTATGAGAGATGCCAGCCTGCCACCCAAGGAAGAACATGCCAGCAGACCAGTAAAGCCATGGAACACATAGTAAAACATAGATTAATATAGTTAATGGGGTTAATTTAAGATATAAGAGCTAGCCAGCAAGAAGCTTGAGCCATTGGCCATCCAGTTTGTAATTAATATAAGCCTCTGTGTATTTACTTGGGTCTGAGCTGCTGTGGAACCGAGTGGGACACAGGAAATCTTATGGCTACAAACTTATGTTGATGTATCTCCACTCATTAATTTCACAGAATTTAAAAGGGAATATGGACAATGCTAAGTTAAAACTGTGTTAATGGATAGAGGAAGCAATTCCCTTTCCCAAATCTTTATATTTTAGAATAAATAAAAGCTTTAAAATTTTATCATAAGTTAGGGGAACATGTAATGATGGGTGAATTTAATTAAAAAATATTGCTATTACAAGAACATTAGATAGAAAAGTAGGTGTGACTATGTTAAGATACTGGGTTCTGAAGATTGAAGCTGTCAATCTGTGCTTGGAACTTCAGAATTGCATGGTGAGAATGCTCTCACAAGCTCTATTTTTACATCCAGTACTGGAGCCACATGCTAATGCTATGAGCACATATTCACTTTAGGTAATGTTCTGTCAAGAGCCAAAAATAGATGGGAGGATAACCATCTTTCTCTTTCCTTTGTCCTTCCATCTTTTCATGGGCCTGTAGAAAGGAGTCCAAAGAGAAGTGTTGCTCCCAGAATCCTAGACTGAACTCCACAAAGCACATCCAGATAACTGATTCAGAACTAATAGGTAGGGGCTTAATACTTCTACCCAATTATTTGAAGAATCACTAGTAATCACTGTTCAAAGTCATTAGCACACATTGTTGTTCTGGTTATGCCTGAGTGAAGTCTGTGTTTCTCTTTCTCACTCATGGTTTCCTTCAACAGGACCGAGTCATTAGTTAAATTATATAAATACTACTTTATTTACCTTCTTCAATTGTTCGCCTCCCCAGCTTAAAACAGAAGTCAAGCCTGACTCTAAGCTGCAGACACTGGAAGTATAACACATTCTCTTGGTTTCTCATTTTCCCCTTTGGTATTCAAAAATATACTTTCCGGCTTTTGTCTGTGCCTAAATATCAGAAAGATTCAATTCTGGGATAAAAATAGACTGTGTTCTGGGAGGAAAATTGAGATTGGTGTCTTCTCCTCATTAGTGTCACTCATGTTAATGCTGACCTTCAACTTTCTGAATTCTACTGCTTAAACATAGCATTTGTGCAGAGCTCTAGTCCCTGACTTTGGACAGTACCACCCCACCCCAGGAGTAACTGGAGGACTGTTCTATTCCAGTCAACTCCTCTGGAACTTAGAATTTCCTTTTGTACCTTTGATTTGTCGGTAGAATCACCTTTTTTTTCCCCTAGCATTCTTCTTTTCTACTCATTCTTGTGTAATCCTTTGGGGGAGAAACTCATTTACTCTCAACTCAATCAGACAGGTCTTTAATTGCTTTCTTAGTACTTTCAGGTAGCTCCTTTTTTTTTTTTTTTTTTAATATGAGAGTTTCTTTCTCATTCTCTTCAGCTTGATAATATACTCCTCCTCCCTGGTGGAAAAACAAAACACAAGGACATTTAAAACTCCATCATGCCATGGATGCTCATAAAAAAACTTCTAATTCTTTCCTCAGTCAAAAACAGATTCCCTGTTTTGAGGGAGATAAATCTACTTATCCTGTATCAGATATTGAGTTATACACCTCCTAATAATTTGGTAAACTTAAAATCATACCAATAAAGATTTTAATTTATATGTGTTTAATTAGTAGTGTTATTAAACACCCGAGTATTTTTCACTTCAGTGACCTAATTATTAGTAACCTATTTTGCTGCTTTTAACTGAAACTGACTAAAAAAAAATTTTTAAATTAAATGGGGTGTAATTTTTAGTGTGCCGGTTCATAACACTTACGCATTGGTGTTTTATGAATTGCACTAAATAATACACATTATATTTTGAAATTGACTTCTCTGCTTTGTGGGGTTTTGTTGTGTTTTGTTTTGTGCTGCATAGTCAGGCTTCAAGCCATTCATACCTACAGATACCTACTGGAGGTAAGTGCTAATCAGACCTTAGCTTACAATGGCAGTTCTATGACTTTTAACTGATTGATTGATCTGTTCATTGGTTTTAAGACAGAGTTGCCTGAAGTAGCCTCAGATTGCTGTGCAGCTGAGGATTGTCGTTACCTTCTGATCCTCTTTTCCGTCCCTCTCCAGAGCTAGAAGTACAGGTGTGGGACACGACATCCAGTTTCCATTCCATGCTGCTCGACATCCAGGACCTCAGGCAGGCTGGGCCTGGGCCAGTGCCATATCAATTGAGATTCAACTTCAGTCCTGCTTCTACTTTATTAACCACCATTATTGATATACAAATTTCCTAACATGCTATTTGCCCATTATAGTCACTCTTGAGTAAGGTATGATACATAGCAGTTTTTGACCATAGAGCGTATTCCACACAGATGGAGTTCTAAATACCCAATGTGTGGCCTCAGATGTAGATACTAAGCTAGAGTTAATTACTCCTTCTCTTATTGACCTACTCATTTACCACTCACTGATTTTTGTGAAGTGGGTTTTACTCTCATTTTTCTTTCTTTCCACCCTCCTGTAAGCCTCCTAAACACAGGAACTTTATTGCTAATAATTATAATACCCTGTTATTTGCAATACATTTTTATGAGTATACTCAGTAATTTTGTTATAGTTTCAATAAATTGTGAAGATGTAATATCATTTGGAAGTTTTTGGATTTTTTCTCTTTTCATCTATAACTTTTCCAGTATTTATATATTAAAAGGTGTCAATGAGCACAAACTTGCTTGCTTGTTTGTGATAGCTTAGTACCCAAAATGATTCTAAATCATTACAAAAGGAACATTGCTAAATAACTTAATTGATCTCTCATGTAAACAGACATAGCATTTTATATCTCAGTCTTACTCTAATGTTCATTGTGAGAACTGACATAACTGTATTAATTTATAATCAGAGGATTTATTTGATAATCATTTGGCTAATAATCACATGTTATAAAATTGTGTTAATAATGATGAGTACTCTTTTCTTCACTTGAACCAATTCATTTACCTCTCAAGATAACCTTCAAAGGAAATAAGTTTTTTTTTTGTTTGTTTGTTTGTTTGTTTTTTACCTCTGTTATGCAGTTGAAGGCACTGGTACAGTTTATGTCATCAATTTGAACTCAGGATTAGGTTTATTACTCTCAAACTGAGAATCATAAGTCTTCTCTTTGAAGATTCAGATTATTTTATTTATTGCTCTAGAACATTGTTCAAAGTGAAGGAAATAGCCACAAGGTAAGTTCCAGAACTTTAAATGACCTACGGTTCAGTTCTGTTCTCAACTATTTCAAATCTGGAGGTGGAGCAGGCAAAGTGATAGAAGGCAAAAGGAGTCAGCAGGCAGAAGATGGAGAATAATATTTTGCCTTAGGTGTCTCTTGCTGGGGTTTGTGCCTCCAATAGTATTCAGTGCATCAAAGATTTACAGTTGGAATTCTGAAAAGAACAGTCTATTTTGGTCCCAGCAGCACACTGATGATTTGGTTATCCAAATAATTTCTTTAGAGCTCACTTTGTTAAAATATTACTTGTGAATATTAGTGGTGAATAGTGTGTCTAGAACCTAAGAGTTGGAAAGGAGAGAAAATTAGGCATATTCATATCCAACAAGGAATTCCTGCAGATTTCAAATATTTCCATATTTCTTTTTGCTGTAGTAATAAAACCAAATTAGACTCATGTTGATTTCAATGACTTAGGCTTTAATGGAACTGCTGCTTTTCAATAAGATTTCACCTAAGCATCCAATTAACTCTTTATGTGGACAGGAAGTTGCTACACAAGTAGCTTTATCGTAACTTCATACTTGCTGCTCTTTGTTTTATGATAATACAAGAATTATCTAATTGCCAGTTGCAAAGTACACATGCCATCATGATCAAAACAGTTTGAGTACACACTTCCCAAGTACTTTTCCTGAGATTTTTAAAAACAATAAGATAAAACAAAAACTAACACATTGGAATTGGACAAGACAAACAAACAGAAGGAAAAGAGCCCAAGAGAAAGCACAGGAAGAAACCCACTCTTTTGCACACTCAGGAATCCCATATAAACACTAAACTGGAAGCCAAAATATATACATAGAGAACCTAGTACCAATCCGTACAGGCCCTGGGCATGCTAATTCTGCTGTGGGAAAATGCTTTTGTACAATGGTTTAATAAAACTCTGATTGGCCAGTAGTCAGACAGGAAGTTATAAGCAGGATAAGCAGACAAGGAGAATTCTGGGAAGAGGAAGGCTGAGTCAGAAGATGCCAGCCTGCCGTCCAGGGAGCAGCATGTAATGTCACACAGGTAAAGCCACAGAACATGTGGCGACATATGGATTAACAGAAATGGACTGATTTTAAGTGTAAGAAATAGTCAGTAGTTAGCCTGAACTAATGGCCAAGCAGTTATCATTAATATAAGCCTCTGTGTGTTTACTTGGGGGACGTGAGTGGGAGAGATTTGTCCCTACTGTCCGCAGGCTGAGACACAGGAAAACTTTTACTACATGATTTAGTCTCTGTGGGTTCATATGAGCTTTTATCATGTTGACTTAGAAGACCTTCTTTTCTTGATGTCTTCCATTCTTATACTCTTTTTGTCTCCTCTTTCCCAGGGTTCCCTGAGCCATGAGGAGAGGGTTTTGATGGAGACATCCATCCCACTTAGGGCCGAGTGTTCCAAGGACACTCACACTCTGCACATTGTTAGCACCTGCTGCACGATGAAGCGTTTATGATGATGGCAAAGCAAGGCATTGATTTATGAGTGTATCAGAATGTCACCAGGAGTCTTTTTTTATTGCTCTTAGTTTGTTTTAATTTTGTTTTGCTTTTCTGTTATTGTTTTTAGAACAGTAGTGCTGTGGGACAGTCTGTATGTCAAATTGCTCTGATTGGTTAATAAATAAAACACTGATTGGCCAGTGGCCAGGCAGGAAGTAGGTGGGACAAGGAGAGGAGAATTGTGGGAAGCAGAAGGCTGAGGCGGAGAGACACTGCAGCTGCCGCCATGACCTGCAGTATGTGAAGATGCCTGTAAGCCACCAGCCACGTGGCAAGGTATAGATTTATGGAAATGGATAAATTTAAGATATAAGAACAGTTAGCAAGAAGCCTGCCACGGCCATACAGTTTGTATGCAATATAAGTCTCTGTGTTTACTTTGTTGGGTCTGAGCGGCTGTGGGACTGGCGGGTGACAAAGATTTGTCCTGACTGTGGGCAAGGCTGGAAAACTCTAGCTACACAGTAGTATTTGTTTTTACCCTATGTCCCCGGGTTATCTAATTGCAGGTTCTTGGTCACCCATGCACTTTCAGATATGGGTTCTGTCTTGCAGAATGCATCTTATGTCAAAGTTGATATTGGTTAGTTACTCGCACATGCTTTGTGCCACCATTGTCCTAGCATATCATATAGGCAGACACCACTGTAGCCGAAAGGGTTTGTGGCTGGGTTACTGTTTGTGTTTCTCTTTTTGTGGCATGAAGAGTACCTTTCTGCACTAAAGCTGCTGGAACATAGGGGTGAATACCCTATGTAGGCATCAACTCAATGTCCCAATGTTCAGTGAGTTGTGTAGGGACTGTTCTTAGCAATAGACTCCTGCCCTCTCTTTGTGGAGAGCAACCGTTGGTCTTGACATCAGCCTAGGTTATTTGAAAATTCCCATGGGAACTTTTGACCAACAACTCAGTAAAATTGTAACCAATCCCAGAACTGGAATCCTCATTTGTCAATAAGATATGGCCAGGTGGGCTCTGTATCTCCCATTATTTTAGGATTCCATTTAGATCACCATCATATATATACATATTTTAGGAACCTAATACAGTAGAATTATGTAGCTAAGATTATGTTACATTTATCTAATGGAAATACATGGAATTGAGAAATAATCATATGATACATCAATAACAGAAATTTGTACTGTGGTAAGAAATCTGAAGAACATTGTCTCTCTCCTATTTTTCTTTTATCTTTAAAATATTATCTATCAAAAAAAC